AAAGCAATGCAGGGATGCTTAGGTTATGGCACCTCTAAATTCATATAGAACTGGGCCATAAATCCCCAACTGTGCAGAACTCCACATCACTTGAATTTAACTCAAAAAAGAATATTACAAGGACATGGCAAACCACTACAAACAGCCCAAGTCAAATTACCAACCAACACATCCAAAAGGAAACATATTGTGAGTTTTATGCAGGAGGAAACATGGATACCGGGATACCCATGTTTCCACCTATAAGGAAACGACTCACTTGGATCTCAAGGGGGTGACCATGGATCCCCATCCGCCGATCTATCATGCAGGAGCCATCAGTAACTAGCAGAGAAGGAAACATATCGAACCCATCAGTTAAGCACAAGTTCAAGATCAGTTTTATGCCAGTCTGAACATCCACCCTCTCTTGTAAGGCATAGTCACCAGTGAGTTTCCCATATGCCCTCAACAAAATAATCCACCACAATCCTAATGAAAAAGAAAAGAAGAAACACAGATGCTATCAATCAACAAGAATCAATGAACTACTGAGATCAATAGCTGTCTCCTGAAATTTATTACAGCTACAGATATTGGACATTTACAATTAAACATATGGGACACATGAAAATCCTTACTAGAATCATATTACAGAACCATAGCAATTTTTAAAATTAAAATGTTCACACCGGTGTTTACTAACCAGAATCTACAGGTGCAACACGGCCAATAGCTGATTCACCAAAATCTGGATCTAAAACTTCTTCAAACTTACAGTCATCAATAGGCACTGTTCTGACTTTAAAACTGGCTGGCATCAGCCCCTGGCCTGGACTATAGCAGTCCACTGTTTTCTCCCAACTCTAAGAAAACAAAACAATTTCTTGAGTTTTCAAGAACATCAATTATAGAAACATAGCTATAAATGCACAAGTATGATTAAGCCAATATGAACAATAGGCACAAAACGATAAAGGAACATCTGTCTGAAAGATGACAAGAAGACATAACAAATCAAAACCGATAAAATGGGTGAAAAATCAATTCCAGAGAAACAGAAAATTTAGTATTAAATGGCATTTGAATAATCATATCATCATCAGAAAGTTTACCCAGGTTGACATTTATACTAAAATTTGTAAACAACAATGGTCAATATGGAATATAGGTGTATTGCATGACTTCTAAACGAATCCTCATTAAAAACTTGTTGCACATAAATCAGGCATTTTAATACTGGTCAAAATAGAACAATTATATAAATGGAAAAATATCAAATGAAACAATGAAAGGATATATCAAACCAAAATAGAAAAGCAGGATAAAGTGTTGCCTGCAATTGCAAGGTATGAAGTAGGAAATTCTTCACAATCTCTCCTTCTCCTCTGAGCAAAAAAGCAAGAGCTGAAGGCACGAAATCACGAATAAACACCTGATCATAATTCAATGGCATCTTATCCCCAGGATCATTCGCGGCCACAGTTCCCACAGGACTCCCACAATACATAACAACAGCATCATTCAACAACTTCCATGCCTCCTTTTCTATCTCACTCTCTTCTCTCTTAGGACTAACAATCTCAACTTCCTGACCACCGTCCAAATTCTCTCTATTTACACTTTCACAATCATCAACAAGCATCCCTATCCCGGACTCTTCGTCCCCTAAAACATTCTCATCTTTATCAATCCTCTCAACCACCAAAGGCTTAATACCGATCCCATTTTGCACATAAATTCTCTCAAAATTATTATCATTCACTCTTGTCTCAACAGATGTTGAAAACTTTCTAACTTGTGATGCAACACTAGCAACAACAGAAACCCTCCTAAAGTCTCTTGTTATAAGCCGAGATTGGCCAAAACTGATATAGGGAGCACAAAAAGATTTCTGGGCTTCATTGAAAATGGTCCTGGACCCCAAGATTCTAAAAGGGTAGGTCAAAAACTGCTTGTTTTTATCAAAATTAAACTGGTTCCCTGATAAATTGCTTGTTAGACTATGATGGAGCTTGAAAAAGACTCGATTCTTCTTAGATAAGAAAAATCTACAAGAGGGTCTCATTGTTGAATTTCCAACAAAACTAACAGTATTGATAGAATCAAGAGCTAAACAAAAGCATAAACAAATGTGCTAAGGTTTTGTTTGTGATGATATAAGGAAAAAGGTCTGAATCTTTTGTATTTACAAACAATAAAAGGTTGAAACTTTAATGAATAAAAAGGACACCATTGCTTGATTTGAACTTACGGAGACATAAAAGAGAGAAATTGGTGATCTTTAACAACAGATTTTGGTGTTCAGAGAAGGAGGAGAACAGAAAAAAACTGTATTTTCATGAAGGGGGTTGTGAAGAAGGGTAAGATTTTGTCTTGGTCATCGTGAGTAATAAGTAAGGAGGTGTAATGAAATGACAATAGTACCTGTAACGATCTTGCACCATTTGTCTTGAGTAAATTACTTTTAGTCCCTATAATGTTTTGGGATGTTTTAATTTAATCATTTATGTTTGAAAATCTATAACTTTAATCATTTGACTCTTGTTGACCATTATCTTTTTAAACATACCTTGCTATAGTAGATAACGTTTTATTATGGTCTTGGAATATAAAAAATAAAAATAATTAAAATGAAAGAGCCATGTTTTTTTATATTTTATAAAAAATCATTTAAAAACTATACTAATATGTATTTTTTATGTTTTTGTTTTCGTTAAAATTTCTGTCTTTTGTATGCATTTCTTTTATCTGCAAATACAAATCATATATATAAAATTTCGACATTTATAAAGAAAACCAACAAATTTCTGAAAGACACAAGCAATTAAGACAACAGATTTTGGTGTTCAGAGGAGGAGAACAGAATAAAACTGTATTTTCATGAAGGGGGTTGTGAAGAAGGGTAAGATTTTGTCTTGGTCATCGTGAGTAATAAGTCAGGAGGTGTAATGAAATGACAATAGTACCTGTAACAATCTTGCACCATTTGTCTTGAGTAAATTACTTTTAGTCCCTATAATGTTTTGGGATGTTTTAATTTAATCATTTATGTTTGAAAATCTATAACTTTAATCATTTGACTCTTGTTGACCATTATCTTTTTAAACATACCTTGCTATAGTGGATAACGTTTTAGTATGGTCTTGGAATATAAAAAATTAAAAATTAAAATAATTAAAATGAAAGAGCCATGTTTTTTTATATTTTATAAAAAAATCATTTAAAAACTATACTAATATGTATTTTTTATGTTTTTGTTTTCGTTATATTTCTGTCTTTTGTATGCATTTCTTTTATCTGCAAATACAAATCATATATATAAAATTTCGACATTTATAAAGAAAACCAAAAAATTTCTGAAAGACACAAGCAATTAATTTAAGTTTGCATTATGTAGTAGGGGGTGAAGGATAATGTACACCTTTCTTTTCTTTTTTGGGTTTCTTGTTTGCTATTTTTGGAGTGAGTATTGATCTGGAAATTTTGATTCCATATAATTAAGGAAAATTCAAATATTTACAATTTTTTTTAGATAACTAAGGAAAATTTAACTATTTACAATGTGGGTGTATCTTTGCTTTGATGGTGTAGTTGGGTAAGGAATTCCATTATAGGAGAGAGAGATACCATAATAAAGTTGAATTGTGAGGTTGCTGTAAGTGTTGGAGACACAATTGGATGTCCTAAGTTCTCTCTCTCTCTCTCTCTCTCTGTTAGTTTAGCTTAAATTTAGCATTAATGAGTGTCTAATTAGTAAGTTTGTGTTTTGAGTTAGAGGGTGGTAATTAATGGGATAGAAAATTAGCCATTTTCCTTCTTAATTGCACTATCTAATGCCATATCAAGTAAATCATGGCAGCCCCTGGATTAATTAGAACTTGAAGAAACAAAATTCTTATACATGCTTAGTGTTCAAAAGGCATTGTAAACTTAGAAAGGAAAAGAAAAAATCTCAAGTTAACTTAGTAGATGACTTGGTGGGGGTAAAGCATACAAACTAGGGGAACCATGTAAATGGACTTCTCCCTGTCTCGAGGACAGTACCAAGGCTAATCTTTGTAAAGTACTGTTTGTTTTTTTCTTCTTCTTCTTTTTTTTCAAAGTATTTTAAAAAGAAAATTAAGATTTTATATTTTTTTATTTAAAATTATTTTTTTAATATTTTCAAATAATTTTTATGTGATAATATTAAAAATAAATTTAAAAAAAATAAAAAAATTATTTCAAAAAATAAAGTTATTGAAACTTTAAAAAACAATCACTATCTCAATATAACTACTACTCTTAAATAAATTGTTTTTTAATAAAAAATGATTTTGAATAAGCTTATAAATATATTTTAAAGAAAAATAAAAAGATTAGCAAAAACAAGAATAAAAAATTATAATTTTAAAGTGGTTGGATTATGTTATTGTTTTTCATAATGACTTTCATGAATGAAAAAAATAATAATATAGACATAGGAATGCACATGGACGCCAAAACCATCAAATAAATCAATCATAATTGTGATTAAAAAAATAAAATTAAATATGAAATATTCATATATCTATCTTCATTCAATTAAATTCGATCAATTCATGTAAATTATCATTCTATATCTTTGTTACAACTTATAAAAATAAACAAAACAAATCAAATATCCCAAAGCAACATCTTCATAGAATTGAGTATACTTTATCTCCAATATTAAACTATTTAATTTCTAATTTCATTTCCTAATCTAATTAAAAAAGAATTCGCAACTTCTTTTCTTTGTAGTCTATTTTTACAATTAAACATAATCACATAAAGTATGATATCTATGACTTTATATTGATGCAATAATTCTGAGTTGAAAAAAAAATAATCTTTTATATTTTTATATTTCAATCCTACGTTTGTTTAAAAATATTGACACCAGACTGCGACCACATTACTTGTGAGGAAGCAAGCTCATTCGCCCAATAAAATTCAAACACGTATGCTTTGACCCCACTCCATCTCATCCTAAACCTTTCTATCTTCTCTCAACATGGCACACTGACAATCACTAGTTTGTGTGTCTCAATACAAACTCATCAAGAAATGGCAAGAATTCTTGACTCGTTCCCTCCTCCACTTCAACTCACCCATCCAACTCTTTCTCGCTCTACTTGGCCCAGTTGCTCAATGCCCATTTCACCAAATCCCACTTTCTGCAGCTCTATTTCTCATTACAACCAACTGGTATGTGTTTTCTTTCCTTCTCATTCATGCAGTTTCTTTTCTTTTCTTTACGTTTCCTTTCCTTTTCTTGTGTTCTTTTAATGTTTATGTTTAGCTCTTCTTCTTGATATGAAGTGTGAATGTGGTCTGCTTTTCATGGTTAAATTCCTGTTTGAAGCTAGAACTTCAAATGACGAATGTGAAAATAGAAGTATAGGCATGATCTTCTTCTTGAAATGTCGAATGTTTAGCTCCTCTTCTTGATATGAAATATGAATTTATGGGATTATTCTAAAAATGGTTTGAGAGGCACGATCTTTTTTCTATCATTACGTTTCGTAGAAATTAAGTCAGAAACATGGTTGCGAAGTATAGGCACATGCTGATGGGCATTATAGGGTCATTGGATTTGAAAGAAATAGTGAAAGAGGATCCACTAGATTCAAATCAAATGGCCCAATGGCCATTGGCATCGTGTGCCGATGTTCGAAGCTTCCGCATTGTAGCAACCCCCATCTTGAAGTCCTAGGAATCCCACCTAGCAAACACATGCTATCTGCAGAGGATTTTTAACTCATGACACTGTACCTGTTAGTCTTCTTATTTAGTAACTTCGTGTTACCAAAAGATTCATGCGGTTTCTAAGTTGCTGTACCCTCAATGTTTTTGTTTTTTTGGATCATAAGTATCCCTATTTTCTCAACTGATAAGCAGCCTTTTGTCTTGTATCATGGAACCATTTCAGATTGCTTCTCACAACGTAATTTTTTATGTAAACATAATCAGACTAAAGCTTTTGCAGTTCCAAGGAGAAATGCAATGGCATTGATCTTGTCAAGTTACATTTTCTCAGAAGTTGGTTTCAACAATATTGCATTTGCTCAACAGTCTGTTGGATTCAGGGAATACATTGATCAATTTGATGGGTATTCATTCAAGTACCCTCAGAACTGGATTCAAGTTCGTGGTGCTGGAGCTGATATATTCTTCAGAGACCCTTTTGTTCTTGATGAAAATCTCTCAGTGGAGTTGTCGTCTCCTTCATCATCCAGGTACAAGAGTGTTGAAGACTTGGGCCCTCCACAAGAAGCTGCAAAGAAGGTGCTTAAGCAGTATTTGACAGAGTTCATGTCTACTAGACTTGGCGTCAGGCGGGAATCAAATATTCTTTCGACATCGTCCAGAGTCGCTGATGACGGAAAGCTTTATTATCAAGTTGAGGTGAGTTGTTAGGTAGAAAGAAGTCATTTGCATGCATCACAGAGCTTCTTAACTGAGTGATTATAGTGGTCAAGATTATTTTCCTTACGAGTTCATAGAAGTGTTTCTAACCAGGCCATCATGTTATCAGGTAAACATCAAGTCCTACGCAAATAACAACGAACTGGCTGTTATGCCTCAGGAAAGAGTAGTTCGATTGGAATGGGATCGCCGGTATCTGTCAGTTCTTGGAGTTGAAAACAATCAGCTGTACGAGTTAAGATTACAGACACCTGAAAATGTATTTGTAGAAGAGGAAAATGATCTTCGCAAAGTCATGGATTCCTTTAGAGTGAACAAGGTTGCTGTTTAATTAGTCGAGTTCATATAGATTTATCCAATATTCTGTAGGTTGGGATTCACTGTTTTCACTGTTGCCTTTGCTGCTTTTTATAGTCGAGTTCATATGGATTTATCCAATATTCTGTTTTCACTGTTGCCTTTGCTGCTTTTTTTATCTTCATTTTGAAGTAACAGTTTGAAAGTTCATCCAATATCCAATGCCAGTTTTGTTTTACATTAAGGTTTTCTTCATTGCACCAGGCCTCTGGTTTTTGGCAGTGTTATCAAGCTGACATGTTCTATCCTCTATCTTGAATGCATTACTTCTCTAGGATATTAAAGATGCGTTCAGAATTTATTTATTTATTTAGTTTTCTTTTCTTTTTCTGATGAAAAATTGAAAAAAATAAAAATAAAAATGAGTTCATTTATTGAAAACAAAGGAGTTCTCATCGAAAAAAATAAAAAAAACACTTCAATATTACAACTATTTTTCATAAAAAATCAAAACTATAATTTATAATAGTCTTCTTAATATTTTCCATTTGTGATAATCTAGTTATTGAATAATAACATTATTTCATTCAAATTATAACTCAGGAAAAAAAAAAACTTACACATTAAATCTATAATTTATGACACTAACTAAATAAGAAAATATAAAAAAATAATTTTAATCTTTTACTTTGCCAAAAAGTGTTTGTACTTCAAAAAATTGTACTGTTCAAATTAGAAAATAATGAAAAACTTGCATCGAAAAACTACGGATAACCTTTAAAATATATATTTTTTAAAAAACTCACTATAAGTTTCAGTTTTCCTTTTTGTGACTTCAGTTCTCTATTATTCTGTTTCTATTCTGATGATGAGAAACTCCCCAAAATCGATGGTTAATTGCCCTGAGAGTTTATCCACAAGAGCACTGCGGGACTTTTCATGACTGGAAAGCAACTTCTTGAAACAGTGAAAGTTGCGCCTATGAGAGCCAACACATTCAGTGGTTAATGATTTGATCACAGTTCTAATTGATTTTGTTAAAAATGTTATGATACAACACAAAATCATGTCAAGCAGCAAAACAAACGATCTTGTCAGGTTACCAAATGATCTTAACTGCATTGATCAACTGGCATCCATGCTATAATACAGAATGACAAAATCATGGCAAGTAGCATAACAAATTGGAAATTAATCTTGATACAATACAAAATCTATGACCTAACTTCATATAGTCCTGATCTTGTGAAAGCTCGAAACCCTTTATAAAGACGGCTTGGTACAACCCTGAGATCCAGTTTATCTAATTGCAGGCCAGAGAGGGGCAACACCCTGGATTCTAAAACCCACTTGAAATGTGGGAAATACGTTAAGCCGCTTTAATCCTGCCTCAAGCATCAGTGTTCCAGATAATGCAGGGGCTCTATCTTTTGGTATTCGATCAATTGACCAAGTGCACATCTGCAAATACGGGTAAACAAACTAAATAATCAAACTCTGCCATGTGCAGAAAAGAGAAAAAAGAATCCAGCCTGAACGATTTGTGTCATGTGATGAAACAATTGTTGAAAAGAGAGGCACAGAACTAGCATTTTTGTCATCTTTCCAAACAGAGATACATGGAACATGCATCTTGTTTTTCCTTTTTTCTTTTGCGTGTGCTGAATAACGAAAGGTATCAATATAATTTTTCTCACCTAACATTAAAGATATACATCAAAGGTATCAAGATAAGTTCAGCACAGATACCTTGTTTGAGAAGATGGTCACTGCTCCATGATTTGCAGTCAGATCAGCTGACAAAACACACGAAGGCAGTTGAAATTGCACTGTTATTGAGTCAATCATCTTTCCAGGGTCATTTCGTATACCAACCATCACATTGACGCGGCATGTCCCATCATCGGATGTAATCTGTGGCTTTACATATATTGGGGTACTTTTCAACTTTTTAACCCTGAATAAAGGATAAAGGTTATTGAAAATAAAAAAACTACAGCATACATGTGAACAAAGTGACTAACAAGAGGCATAAGACTAAACATATTCTCTCTACATCTTCCCCAAGTAGTTATCTTGCATATATATTTCATAATAGGAATACCTCAGATAAGTAAACTAAATGATCAGAAACTGACATTGACAATAAAAGAACCAAAACATTTAGGATGGGCGCTGCACAATGTGGACCTGTAACTCATGAGCTTAAATAGTCCATCAGGAGGCACAAATGATAGGATATGATGGGATTCCCAAGGCCGGAACCGAACACATGGATGAAATCTGACATCATCCATAATAGATGGGTTTGTAAATGATAGAGTCAAGTCAGGAACCCCTGTGATATGGGAGTTTACTTGAACTTCACCATAAACCTCACACTTCACCAAGACCCCATCCCTGAAAATTGCATTTGAAAAAGAAAATTGCTTAGCCACAGGTATGAAACCACACAGGATAAATATATGACATTCAATGATATCAACCAAAGAAGGAAATTTCATAGACCTTTAACTTGAAATGCATTTTCTAAGAGCATCTAAAGTAAAATAGTTCACGTGAAGGTGAAAAATCAAAATAGTAACATCATATGCACAACACCAAGTAATGGCAAGTGACACTGCAGATCTGTATTCAATACAAAAAACCTATTAAGGCAGGTAATCACACTACTGAGATGGTCCCATTCCCCATTTGTTATGTAATAGTGGCAAATAATTTGTACTGGAGATTCTTCAGAAAGTCAAATCATCTGTGAAAGTGTCTGTAGGAAAATACATAATTACCTATGTTGAATCATAATCATGTAGGCGGAGAAATTCAAATAACCAATTGGAAGGGAGATGTACCTAATGCAAACAATTAAGTTCTAACAAAATTTTAAGAAAAGAGAAATACCTATTTATAATTGCATCCATTTCTTCAACAAGATCAACATACACCTCATTGTTGGCATATTTTATGTCTGTCGTTCTCCATGGAACACAAGATGCTGTAGCACCTGGAAGAGTGTCGCTCACATTTGAACTGTTACCAGTCACAACACTCAGCATTTTGCTCACAATATTTGGTGGAGCTATCATCTCCCTCAGTATGTTAGGTTCTGTGGTCAGGGGGAAGCCATTGTCTATCATCTCATCCAAAAGCTGCAAATTTTAATTAAAATGTTGGTTTGTGTACACAAAATAGGGAAAAAGACCAGGGAAAGGAGGAAAATCTTGAACCAAAGGAGAACTTTTAGATTTTGAATTTACCCCACTTTCAATCTCAACCAATGAAATAATAACAGAAGAAAAGCACCATCTATTGTCAATCTATTTAACATATTTTTTGTTACTGTAAAAATCATAAAACATACAAGCTGCAAATACAGTTTTTGCATTGTTTAATACAAGGTGAAACGTATCATCTTTTGGTTTTAATAACATAAAATATGGAAAGGTCACTTGAAAAACCAGTGTAATTATAAGTAATTAGAGACACAATGTATTGAAAGACTGACTTATTATTTTGAATCATATTATCAGGTTGATTTGAGACCTTTCTCTGAAGTCCCAAAACAATGTTTAGTTACTAGTAATGGATCCTATACATGAGTCATGGCCACTTTTAAGACCAATAATTTCCACAATCCCAAAATACTGTATGTATGCTATTCTCATAATTCACAGAAAGAAACTAGCATAATGATCGAAAATGAAAATGATCCATAAAAGTACCTCATACACAATGACAAAGTTATCCTTGATTACATCTTCATTCAACCCTTCTAGATAATCTGAGAGAACATCAGCTACTCTGCAAAGGAACTGAAAATCTAGCAGGTAAAAGTCAAGGACTTGAACACCATCAAGCCATACATAATCACACCCAATCACAAAGCACATAAGCTAACAAAATCTACCTCAATGCCCATCAAAGGTGGCATTTCAACTTGGGTGCACGCTAAAAAAGTGATCCCCTCCCGGACAATTTGGAACAAGTAATGTGTTGGTGATGCAATAACCGGTTGTTGCTATCAAAACAACAGCAAAGCAAATGAAAGATACAACAAATGACAGCATCAACAACAGAAACAAAATAAAACAACATCAAAATATCAATTGAAACGCAAAAAAAATCATATCTTTAGAATAAACAAAGCAAAGCCAGCTAGCATAAACCTGAATTATAGACAGAAAATGAGATTCAAATCCTAACCAGAATTGGAAATTCCAAAATGAAGCCAAACAGCTTTGCCTAAAGCCACTAAGGTACCAAGCGAAACCCAAAAAGATCAAAACTTGAACAGGCAAAACTCAAAAACAGCTAATATAAACTCAATTACACAAAAATAAGAACAAAATCAAAGCTAGAAGTTGAAATGCTTAGCTAAACAACATTGTCAAAAGCCAAACTCAGAAAAGATCAAAGCTTGAAACTACACAAGCCAAAAAAAAGCTAATATAATCATGAAATATTCAAAAAAAAATCAGATTAAAATCAAACCCAGTTTCCAAAATTGCAAAAAAAAGTCCAACAAACAATATCGAAGCTTCAAAGTACCTTATAGGAATCACCTTGAGAAACAATTTGATCCCAAAACCAAGCACAAATGGATCTATCTATTCTATGCCCAGTTAACTGTTTCTCTAGCATTACCGCTCTGTCAAAAAATGCCACACAAAACACACAAAATTCAGTTGGTGACATTAATCAGATCAGATAAAGATGCAGTCTATACTGTTTTTGGATTTGAAAGATTTGTTCTGAAGAGATTTTGAGACTTACCCAGAATCTGAAAGTAGAAATATACTCTGCAACATCTCTCTCTTTGCTTCGAATAATTTTCTCAATCCTTTGGAGGATGGAGGTGGAGAAGAGTAATAGAGGTGGCAGGCAAAAAGTTTATTGAGGACGGATTTCAGGGATGAGTTCGGTAAGAACAATAGGACAAACATCAAAGTGGGCTACTAGTTATAAGATAAATATCATTTTGGTCCTCCGACAACCTTTTTTTCTCAAATAGGTCTTTTAAGTATTTAGAAATTCTGAATGGAGTTTTTTTCCCCTCTTACAATACCCTTACAGTATAAAAACTCAATTCAAGAGTATTTCAGATTTAAAGAAAATTTTATTTTATCTGTTTATATTTTTTTAATCCAACACGTTTTTGCCTCTTTTTTTTCTTTACATTCTGCAATGCCATAGAGCAACTTAGTATTGTTAGGCCAATTCTGCAACGGTGAAAGTTGAGTCCTGATTCAAGGATTACAATTCCAGTCATCACTTGGCAAAGCTGAATTTCTTCTTGTGATATTTGGTTGCTTTTGTCATTGTAAGATCGAGAAAATGAGAGATTATTGCTTTTGAATCCAATTCTCAGAAGAGTTCCATGTCGAGGGAATATGATAATCAGCTATGTAAATGTTACGTGCTTTGTTATTATTGATCTTTCTATAAATCTGTGTATGTGAGGTACAAGGGACATAATCATTTTCAACTCTTTTTTCCCTTCCAAACTAATTCATGGAGGAGCAATTCTATGCCTGATTGGATCGGTACTGTTACTAGCATGGAATCTAATCAGGGAATGGAGCTCTGCATTGGGTTTTCTATGGCAAAATTAAGGAGTCCTGAACTTTCTAAGGATGCCAGCATATCAAGAAAGGGAACTCTCTGAATTATATATACATGGTTCTTCATTTTTTTAGGTAACGTTTAATTACTATTTTAAAATAGAAGAGATAAAGATAATAGAATTGTTATGAAAATATAGAAATTCATTTCAAAATTATTCTATAAACAAATTTATTTTGTATCTTTATCTTCTCCCTTCAACAAAACAGGTTTTTTTCTTTTCTATCTTGTAACACTATCCAAACACAATCTTAGTTTTGCTTCCATGAGGGGAAATTGCCATTCTGCATATGCTTTTACCAGTTCTGAAGCATTTCTGGGAAATGAAGCAATATGGAGTGGCAGAATCTTGGGCTCAAGTGTGTAGACTACATGGCGCCAACCTATATGGACCGTTATCACAGCTGCAGTTCAGCTGCCTTATGAAGCCACTGGAGTTTTGAGAGAATGATGGGGTTACAATGGCAACCAGCAAGAAGCTTTTCAGCTACAGTGCCGAAGAATTCAATTTTGTCGGACGAAGCCTGTAACTAGACCTCGGATGAAGCCTGTAACCACACCTCGGATGAAGCCCGTAACTAGACCTCTTCTTTCGGTATCGATTTTCATGTGGCTATGGTAGAACTGCAAGTATCTACGCAGCTGTTGGCCTCATTCCCTGTAAAATCGACAAGGAATAGTTGTCTGAAGAATATCTTCCATACATTCATGATTTGGATATATGCTGACAAGGTTTACTACTTTACTTCATTATGCAACAAAAAACCGTTAAGAGTGTTTATTAGGCTTGCAACTGCATAATTTCTTTCTCTTCTTCTTCTGTCCTGAAGCACAAAGTGCAGGCAAACACAGCCTACTCCGATATTGTTAACAGTAATTCATATAAGATTAATTGTATTGTCAGATTGTCGGTCTAACAAAGAAATTAACTCGAGTTTTTCTCTACTGTTTTTGCAATTCAGGGTATATATTATTAGAGAGTAATGTAGAATTATTCTCGGAATCGCTTAAGTTTTTGAGTTATTATGATTTTATGAAAACTCAAAAAGAGAAGAGAGAGAGAGATCAGTTCTGAAGGTGCTTGTTATTTTATTTTTTACTCTTTTATGCTTGATTCATACACCTTTGGCTATTTATTTAGATTTTTTATCCTAGCCTACTAATGACTCAAATTGCTCGAAAATAGCTAATAAGGTTAATCGTAGTCTAATCTAAGATAGTTAATACAAACCAGAACTTAGAAATCAACTCAGAAAACTAAGCCTGGCTGACCGAGTTGCTGATGTCGGAGGTGTTTCTGCTACATAGAATGCCTCTTATTTCTAGATTTCTCTTCTACTCTTCCTTGCAGAATTGTTCCTCATTCTTCCAGTCCAATTGCTAGATTTCTGCTTCAGTGGCTTTGTTGGAAGTTCTTTGTTGCTGCCTTCGCTTCTTCCAGCCTGGTTCGCGTCATGTTTATTTGACATGATATTACAATTTTAATAGCCAATTAAGCGGTAAAGAGTTTGAAGTTCCAAACTCATCTTATCAATTTAACTAATAAAAATTAAATATAAATATTTTTGGATTTATGTAAATTTTAAAATCAAAAGATTTTTATTTAAAAATATTTTAGAATGAAACAAAAAATAGAATATTCCAAGAAAACAAAGAATAGAGTCAAATATGTAATGATTTAATCCTATAACTAAAAACATGCAATAATATTTTGTTTGAATTCCTAGGATTTGATGTAAGTGTGTGTTTGGCTTTATAGTAACTTATGAAGTTATGGTTACAAAAATAAGTTTATGAAAAATTATAAATTATAGATTTCTAGAGAGTTTTCAATGAAAATATATAAAATTATAATGTAAGTTAATTAGATAAACACTTTTAAAATTGTGGTCGAGAAAAAATATAATCTCAACCAAATTGACATGACATGTTTAGTTAATCCCACAATGAAAATTGATGTAAATAAAAAGAAAAACCATGACTCAGAAAAGAAAAGAAAAGAAAGGGCTGGCTTAGGTTTAATTCCAAGTTACCAAGTAGATAGAAAGTAGAAATCTACATTACATAGGAAAAGTAACTGAAAGAATCCTAGTGCAAATAGAAGATGAAAGATTTGCATATTCTAAAGTTAAGGTGTCTAACAATGTATAAACTAGAAAACCTAATTTCCTGCCAGGGATATAGCTTTCTCAGAGGAGGAAAGGGGCATGCTGAAGGGATACTTCAGGGAACTTTGCAATGGAGAGAAGGAACAAATGGGGAAAAATGGTACAACATATTCCTGATGATGTGATACTGGATATTTTCTCTAGATTACCAGATAAGTATTTGTACAGGTTTCGTTGTGTTTGCAAGTCATGGTCTGATTTGATATGCCCCGATATAAATAACAAGAAGCTTTTTCTCTTGTTTAGGGAACATTGCTCCATTTTAGACTGCTATGAAGCAACTTCTGATTCAGATGCCAACGCCGCAATTGTCACAGTTGAATATCAGTTCAATGAGTCTCTAATGCCATCACTATTAGCCAGTGCTGAGATACTTACTTCTTGTGATAGTTTGTTGCTTTTATCTTTGAGTCATTAACGAAAGTGGAAAACTGCTTCTCTTCAACCCATTCTCTGGGTATTACAGGGTGTTTCCATGTTATAGTAGTACTAGCATCACTTACAGTCAACACTTTGGAATCTGCTATGATTATTCTGATAATGACTATAAAGTTGTGTGTTTGGGGGAGTTGGGGTTTTAAGCCGTTCTTCACCGTTTTTCCTTCAAAAATAATTCTTGGAAATGCACTGAATGGAGCTCCGTGCATTGGGTTTTCTATCGCTCCAATCGTCCTAATTTTCTTAGCGTGCATGCTGTATTACGGTTTGATTTGAGGGATGGATTTAAGGAAGTGCCAAAACCTCCTGAAGATCTTGTTGGTCATTATTTTAGTTTGGCTTCCTTTAGAGGGAATCTTTGTGCTTATTGTTATTGCTTGAGTTCATTTGTACGTACGGTGGCAGAAAGGAAGCAATATGGAGTGCAAGAATCCTGGACGCAAGTATTTAGCATCCGTATGAATGGATACTGCAGGAAGCCATTGGCATTTACAAAGAAAGGTGAAATTATAATAGCAGTCGACAATGAGGAATTATACATCAACGATATGGAAGATGATTCATTAAAGAGTCTTCTGAGATTTGAAGAACAGCTGAAAGATTTGAGATTAATGGCAGCATATGCAAATAGTTCAATCAGTCTTGGTTGTGACTTTCAGCGCAATAGAGGCAACATCCCTCCATTAAGCATTGTGAAGATCACTAGGAGCCATAAGTTAGACTAGGTCATTCATATAGCTTGACTTGTTGCTTTGTTTTTTTCAGTCTTTCTTTTTAATTTTTGTGTAAAAGGCGTGACTGTTCCTAGGAAATCACTATAAGAATTATTTTTTTGTTAATGGGACGAAATTTCGTCCAAGAGCTAAATTGCAGATGATCAGTTCAGACCTCTCGCCTTGCTTGAACTGTGAATTTCTGCATCTGTGTTTATAAACTCCTACACAAGGTGGCCTTTTCTTTTTCTCATTTACCTTCATTGATGCATAGCTGCATCTATCAACAATACCCTTCCACCTTATGATTTCATAGGCAACCATCTATGCTCCCAAACCCTAGACTTCATATCATTGCCAATCAACCATCACGAACCAGATTCCTTGCATAGATTGCACAGTAGAAGCAGCATCCCTTCCATTAAGCATTTTGAAGATGGAAAGGAAGAATAAACTAGACTAAGCAATATGTTTCGATACCTCAGAGAGTTTAGATCTGTTTGACCTTGTTCTAGAGACTTCATATATTTTGTTAAGACTGCCTTGCCTGCTCTATTGTTTTGCCTCTCATTTCTTTTGTCCTGTTCTCCAGCTCTTCTACGATTACTGTGATACTTTTGCAGGTTGAGTAATTAAGCTGCTTCAAGCAGATGAAAGAGCTTGCAGATGGAATATTTGTCCCTAAAGCATTCAACACACACACACACACATGGATGGATGCATGTATCAAACAAATATATAGCAGTAATTAAGCATGAAGGAACGATTCTTTTGAAAGAGTTTGAGTACAAATGATAGGTTATCAAACAAATACATAAATCTATACATGTATGCAAATAAAAACATTCCATGGTCATTGTGCTTACTCCTTGCTACAATTTTCCTCAAGAAGAAGGCATCCCCAAATACACAATTCCTTTAATTTGGAGTTGAACTTCCTAAATGCTTCACATTCTTGCAATTCACAATCTGAAGATAC